AATACTGTTTTGAATGTAGATGATATTCTCTGTTTCTTATAAGCAAATAATTTATTACTTTTTTTAAATTTTTACTTTGTTAAAAACACATTTGTATGTATTTCTTAAAAAGGAAAGTATTTTTTAAAACATTGAAAATTTTCATTTCCTGTTGAGAATAATCATGTAATATATTCTTATATTATGCAAAGTTTATGCATATTGATTTTTGTATCAGTATATCTTTTTGCTTCCTTGTACGAAGTAAAAAGGAAGTATTGTAATCGCGAAAAGTTTCAGACATCATATTTTAACGCAAATATCATTTTCACCGCTATCGAATTCAATTTAACGATGTTTTTGCTTGACATCTGTTCGTAAGGACAGAATGAAGGACTCTTTTCCCACAAAAAAATTGTAAAACTAATTTAAAATGAATTCTGAAGAGAATTTTTCGTGGCGTCTGTGCGTGCGTACGTACGTATATATCTTGCATCTCAAAAACGAGTAGCCTCAGAACGTTGAAATTTGGTATTTAGGACTGCTATAACATATAGATGTGTACCTCGTATTTTGGTTGCAATCGGCCGCACCGAAAGTATATAAATAAATATATATATATATATATTACACTTTTCAAAAGTCTCAATTATAGCCCGAATTGTGTTGAAGATTTTAATCTTCTAATTTTCCATACTTTAGCCAGTATTTAGTAAAGTTTTGATATACCAGTTGGAATCAAGTATATTAAAACCTTCAATATTTTCTTTCTTTAAATTTAGCTTTTAATAAACATTTTTTAAGGAATTCAATTTAATAAATAAAAAATTTTTAGGAATTCATTTCAAAATTAAAATTTTATTTTAAAAAAATTGGGCAATTTTTTAAGACATTTTAAAACTTTATTTAAATTTTACTTTAAAACTTTTTTTAAATTTTTTTAACATTTCAGTTTTACTTCATTACTTTTTAATTTGCAGTTTTCACTAATAACAAATAATTTTTTCACTTAACGTTTTTATTTGCATTATTTACACAATTTTGCAACACACATTTAACATTACAAACAGTTTACATTTATTAATTCACAATAACCACTTAACTCTACTTTACTTCAATTAGAGTGCTCTTTTTATGATATTTGCAGAGCATACTTACATCTCTTGATCGGCTCAGTTACTAAACTCCCTATCATAAATAGTTTGTCAGTTAAAATTAAAACTTGAATTACATACTTTTAGGATATTCTTTGATATTTTCTAGATTTATATTATTTAAATATTTTAATATTAAAGTTTGCAAAATTTTTAATAAAACAAAGATGGCAGCTTGGCACTCAACTGTACTAACATAAGCGCCATCTATATAACTTACATCACTTAGGAAATACTTTTACAGACCCCAACGCTAATATGGTAGGTAAGTTAGAATTAAAACTTACTACAGTCAAAAGTCGTTAATTCGGACACCCATAATCCGGAATGATCTATAATCCGGACCTCAAAGCTGAAAACTTTCTGCGCATGCGCCGCGTTGACACATGCGCATAGGCGTTTACGCGTGCGCGTAAGACCTTTACGCGCACGCGCATATGCGTGTGCGCAAGTGCAGAATACGTTTTCGCGTGCGCGTTTAACGTATAACGGACGGTATAAGCTAAAATTATACAATTATCTATTTCAGTTAATGTTGATGCTTGCGTTATACCTTAATCTTCGAATTGGATGCAGCTTATTATTTTTTGCAGACTGTTAAGAGCAATTTTATGAAAGTAAACTTGAACTTTCGATTATGTCAATTTCCGATTCTGGAGCTCCCAAAGGATCTACAAAACGAAAGTATGTCTCGATGTCCGTCAAACAAAAGTGGAATTGCTGCAAAAATTGGATAAAGACATGAAGAAGGTGACAGAGAGGTTAGTGAAAACGAAAAAATTTCGATTGACAAGTTAGTCGGTATTCTCGGCACAGCAATTACGGGACTTGAACAGCGGAGCTTTTAACTGAACAAGAAATTATGTCTGTTTATAGAATTAAAGAGAAAGTATTATCACATAAAAACGAAAACAACTTACATTGAAAGAAATGTTTAATAAAGTAAACAAATAAATATTAAGCTTCTTTTTTTGTAAATTTTGATACCCTTTAGATCATAATTGTTCTTTATTTCCTAAAATACGGTTTCATATTTTTAATTTTAGAATTTGTGCATGCCATCTTACGAGATTTAAACTGATGATCTATAATCCGGAAAAATCGATAATCCGGAATCGCCGAAGTCCCGACGAGTCCCGATTAACGACTTTTGACTGTATTTACTTGCTTTTAAGTATTTTTTATGTAGTATTTAAGTATTTTCTAGATATGTAATTATTTTTAAGTATTTATTTGTTTTTTATAAATTATGAATTAGTTCTTTGGTTTCTTATTGGTTTATATAAATTATGCCTAGTTCCTTTTTAGTTTCTTTTTGATTGATATGTGTATTCGTTTCTGTAGACAAGGGTTTCTAAAATGCATTGGTTTTCTAAATTAATTTTTTCTGAAAAATTTAATTAAAGTTTTTTTAAATTAATTTAATACTAGACTTTTCACTGCTTATTTCTCAAAAATACTTCATTATTGGAATTTTCCTTTTAGAACCTTATAATTTTAATTGCTAATTTCTCAAGGTACCACTTTATTGGTATTTCTTTTTGAACATTCTTCACTATGTATTTACTTTTAGTTTTGACTTTTACCCTTGCCTGCATGAATGACGAAACACGAATTGAATGATTGTAGAGTTAGGTTTGGAGGCAACTTCCCCTTGATAAGTCTGTCTCCTGCCTGCTGAACAGCCATTCACTTATGCATTTTTTTAAAAAAAAATTTTAGATTAATTTTAATTTGCTAAATTGGTGTATTTATTTTCATGGTTTGGTTTTGCACTTGATTTACTTATGCTATCTGAATTTAAATGATATTGTAGATTAGTTCAAAAATTAAATCTTTTATATGTTTGCACACTTTTTAATTATTTTAACTTTAATTTGCTTTTTACGTATATACATGTTTGTTAAAATATAATAATTTATAGACTAAGTTAAAAAATTATTAGCATAGCCGAGCATCAGAAATCAGCTGCAGAACCTCACATCATGGAACCACGTTTACTTCTTTTCTAGAGACTCTGCACTAGGTGCAAAAAGTACATTCCGTCTTACTGGATTCAACTTATCATTAAAGACACCCTACGTATAATATATTGGTAAAGGCCGCACTAGGCCGATGGCCTCTTAATTGTGTTACGATATAGACATAGTTAAAAAATGATTGAAATGTAGCTCTGTTAAGTGAACCTAGGGCCAGAGTGTCGCTATGGTAAACAAATGTAGTGAATTTTAAAGAGTGCATTTATTCAATTGTAGTTTATGCGCTATCGACAAAGTAGATTTAATGGTTAAAAAAAAAAAAAAAAAAAAAAAAATAGTGAATTGTAAAGAGTGCATTTATTCTATTGTGGTTTATGTGCTATGGACGAAGTAGATTTAATTCAATCCAATAAGTTTAAATGAAATGAAAGAAAAAATGTGTCTAATTTAATACTCCGTACGAGGAAGTCATGTGGTCCACACATCAGATTTTTTAATAGTTATAGTTCAGAGTGAAACTTTTGGATATCTGTTCATAATCATCATGAAATAAATCTGATAAACTAATTTTTTGCCCTCTAAGCAAATCTCAAATTCATTATCATTTAACTATTACTCTTCAGAGGATTACTAAATGTTTGAATAGGAAAGCTAAAAAAAATTACAAGCTAATAAATAATTTGTGTGAGGCATTTAAGGTATTATTAATTAGTACAGTACTTATCTAGGTATACATAAAGTATCCATAGGTAATATGTATTAAGACCTGCCACAGATTTATTATAGCTGAGGGCAGTACTGAATGTTAAATAGGGAAGTATTTGTATAACATATACAGTACAAATTACAGTTACACATGCAGTAAGATGTTACAGAAAATAAAATATTAATGAAATATATATTAAAAATGTATTGAAATATATTGCATTTTAAATTCACAGCATAGTTTTTAAAATTCCTTGTGTAGGACATGGGAAAGTAAGATATTCCGACGCATAAAGTACACTGTATTAATTTTTATTTCTTTGTATCCCCTGTGTTGTAGATTAAGGAATAAGAACACTATTGCTTAGTTTTCATGGAATGCTGTAATAAAAAAAGTTCTGTGTGCCATTTTACAGTTTCAAGGGATGAGGAAATATATGAGGACTGAAACATAATTCAAATATGCATGTGTGTGTGTAGGCCTAAAGTCAACACTTCTGTGGAATGACTGTCAGGGGTTGTTGTAATTCACCATATTACTGCTTTTTCTTTACTAATGCATTTTATTTCTTTAATTTTCAAAAATTCTTTTTGGGGCAAAAATGAATAACTAAATCAGCAGATATGGTGGACATGACTGTAATAAAGTGATATTGGATATTTTATTAATGAAATTAAGAACTATTTGTTATCATTTTCAGATGAAAAATAGAATAGTCACTGGTTTTCCTACTGTGCTTTCCAGTTTAATATGCTGTTAGAACAGATATGTTTGCAATCTGTATTTTATATGTAATGAAATACATGTTATAATTTTTTAAAAAAAATTTATTGTTCATTTAAGTTAAATTATTTTTAAGATTTTGTACCTTTTTGAATTGTGTTCTTTTAAACCAATTTTTCTCCTATGGTATTAATTACTGAGAATTTAAAAATATATTAACATATTTTTTCAGAATTAAAGTATTCATTTTCTCTCTTAAATTTTTATTTTTTATCAATCATAATAATTTTTCTTCTAGAAATTAATTTACCTGCTTTGAAAGCTGCTGTACATTATTTTATTCTGAAAGATGCTTTTTCTTGTTTCATGCTTACTCTATAAAAACAATCTTGAATTATTTAAGAAAAGTTTTAATGGAATCTGAATGCTTAATTTTTAATTTTTGAATTTTTCTTTCAGAGCACAAGGTTGTTATTGTAGGTCTTGACAATGCTGGAAAAACAACAATCCTTTATCAGTTGTAAGTATTAACCATATATTAAGGTTTCAGGATCTAAATCTAAGTGGGACCTCAGTGATTTGTCCTCATTTCCCTTTTCTTGGCTACAGCTTTTCGCCATATGGTTTCCTTTTCACAGGCTGGGGCTGATAATGAGAAGTTATTACAACTCTCTTGTTTCTAGCTTCTGTTGGAAAGAAAACTGCCTACATGTTTGCTGTACTTAGACCCGTAAGGCTTAAGGAGCTAGGTAGAGGATTGATGTGCTGTACCCAGCATTCTAATTTGGCCCATTTTTCAGGTTGAAAAGGGAGGCACTCAGCTGTCCTTGCTATCGTCACTCGGCTGGTCATTAGTTCTTAGTATCAGTGGATTGAGGATAAGTAATCAAGAGTACCTGCTTTCGAAAAAACTGACTGTAAGGCTCCATTGAAAGTGTATAGACCTGTTTAGCCTTTGCACAGGTTTCTGCTTCTGCTTATTGGACTCCATGGTCAGGAGGCTATTGAATTTGAATTACTGTTTCTCTCAAAAATGGATTCTAAAAACATTTCACAAACTACCGAAAATTTAATCTCATCTAAGAATTTCAAACAATCTGAATGCAAAATCAAATGTCCTCTCTGTTTTATTGATATTAGTTAGAACTTCATAAAATGCCACTGTTTTTTATTCATAAGTATATTAAGGATAAAAAAATTTCATTCTTGAGATATTTTAACTGAAATTTCAAGTGTGAAACGAAGTCTATGCCTTCTTGAAATGAATAAGATTGACCATTTTAGGTTACAGTTTCTATGCCTATGCCTTCTTGAAATGATTAAGATTGACCATTTAAGGTTACAGTTTCTATGCCTAAGTGATTAATTTTCAGTGGAGATGTTATCTCAGAAAATGACCTCCTGCCTCTCCTTTTTTTGAGAAAGTCTGACCAGTATGTCTGTCTGTACTGTGGTATGAATCCGGCAGTGGAGACATAGTTAAATTAGTTGATACAACACAGGTTGAACAGATTGATTAAACAGGTTGTCCTGATCTTCAGCTTGTCCAATTTGCATAGAAGTATCAAAGCTGGTTACTTGCGTTGTTCCATGTGGTCATACATCCTCAATTCAATTTCAGTGCAGGCAGTTTGCCAATATCAAAGTATCTTGCCATGGCAGCCTCACATGTGCTTACTGCTCTATGATGGGCTGTAACAATTGAAATGTTCACTAAGTCACTATGCATTAATCAGAAAGTTGAGCACACATCATTCTTGTATATTTGTCTGAAACAGAAATAGCTTAGTTTCTTTTTTTCGCAGATATCCTGCTTTTCCAAATCTTATAGCCTTTAAAATACCATAGAAAATGCAAGAAAAGTGTGGTAGCGAAACCAAAGAAATTCATAGATGTCTTATGTGCTATAACATTTTCCACATCAAGGAAATGAGAAAAGTGTGTGAATTATATAATGACTACTCAATTCTTATACTGGAAAAAGATGCCTCGGTGATTAGCAGTTATGAGTACTTTGAATTGCTGTTGTTTCCATTGGCAGCAACTGCACACCAGCATTTCTTCCTGTCCAGCTGTGCTCCTAGAAAATTTCCATTCCCTTCAACCCTTCTGAATCAAAGCCATATATTGTTGATTTTACCATGCCTGAATTAAACAGAGCTTTATTGCAGATACATAGGCCAATCTGAGGCTCAAGTGGTATCAGTTATTAAGTGTTGAAGCATCTGTCCTGTTCATGGACTGCCACTCTCACTTTTTACAGTCAAGTGTGAAATGAGCATATCTCTCTCAATGCCTGGAAGAAAGTGATTGTCATTCCCATAGCTAAGCCAGGAAAAGACGGGAAGAATCCTTTGAGTTATCACATTTATGAGTTGCATTTGCAAATTGTTTGAAAAAATGGTAAACTGCTCTCTAGTCTATTATTTGGAAAAGAACAAAGTAAGCTTTCCATATCAGAGTGATCTTCATAAAAGTAGAATGACCATAAATAATATACTCTTTTTGGAAACATCCATGCATTAAAGCCTTCTAGAATCATCTAGTTGTGTTTTTTGCCATAGAAAAGGCTGAAAAATAAAGCATACAGACACTGCATTTTACAAGATATTTACATCAATAGCTTGTGTTGCAACTTGCCAATATTGATACAACTTTTTTTTTTTTTTTTTTTAAATGCTATGTTTCTCAAATAAGGATTGGCTGTGTGTTATCAATTGTATTCTGTCAAGAATAGGGTGTGCCATGAAATGTTATTAACATTTCCGGTGTTATTTACATTCCTCTACATAGTCTGTATGTCTACTATATTGAACTGTTGCTCCAGTTAAGACATGAGCAGTTGTCCCTTTATCATTATTTCAATATATTATTGCAGCCTGTCCTAATTGCCTTCTCATGCTTAATGACTGTTATATAGCACCTACTCTAGCCTGTTATTTGCAAAGTCTTGTAGTATACCTCTGTTCTATGCAAGAGCTCAGTTACTCATAGAGAAATACTGTATGTCTGATGTTAATACCAAGTAAAAGTAGTAAAGCAATTTGAAATCCCACCTTGTTAGAATGCACAAAGCTTCTGAATGTTTCCTACAATTTTGATTAAAAAAAATACTAGCAAGATTATATATAAATAACTTTTTCTTGAATTCGGATATAAATACAGCAATTGCATTTCGATTTATACAGCTAGATCCAAATCAACTAGATGTATTGAATTATTAGTTTTAGTTAGAGATTACTAGTTTTTTCCCTGAATCAAGATATTTTTTATAGTGTAGAATTTCAAAAGTATTGTAATTTGACTATTGTGTGTTAAATCATGTTGACAAGAGATATTGTCGAGTCCTAAAAGTAAAACGCCGTTATTAGTACATGATATTACTAAATATATATGTAACCTATACCTTTAACCCTCTAACTGCAAGAAAACCCAAATTCTCCAAAACTGTAAGAAAGAGGTACTTTCTTGATTTTTAATACCGAAATGCCTGGTGTACTTTATACTGAATTTATGTACTTATAATATTTTTCCTTAATTTCATGGCATATTTCAAGACGTATATACATGGAACATGGACAAAAAAATTGTATTACCTGTGAATAAGTGGAAGCATGTGCAAATAATATGTTTCATGTATGTGTTTTATGTAAAAATCACATTGTTACAATAAAATAAAAGGTGGAAGATTAATCTTAATCAAATTTTATTAGGATTAACAAATTATTTACTCTTAATTACTCAGAAAAATGAAAAAGAAGGAAAAATCAATATTTTTAATAAGACACAGAATAGAATAATTGATACATAAGTTTCATAATTAATGTAAATTCTGCATAACTGCAGTCATAATATAAGCACTTAGATGTGTATACACACATAAGGATAGCATCAATATTTAGTAAATCCTCCACGAGCTGCAACAGCCTTACTGTAGTCCGGTATAGAAGATATCAACTTCTGAATGTAATCCTAGCTAATTTCATGAGTCCAAATGCTAATAATGCTTTCTGGCAGTTTAATCTTAGTGGCAGGCTTCTTAGCTACAATTTTAGCACCCATTATATGCCAGCAATTTCAGTGGGATTCAGATCAGGATTATTTTGAGGCCAGTCCAAAATTTTAATACCATATCTTATCAGATTGGCCTGCACCTAAAGAAAGGAATGGAAAGAAAATTACTTCTCTAATATCTGTTATATTATGGAGACGGAAACCTGTGAATGAGGTAACAAAATCATGCATAAATAAATTAGATCATATGTTTCGATTTCACTATTTGTCAAGGTGAAAAATCATAATAAAAATGCAATTTCCAGCATCCTTAAAAAGATCCCAAATAATTGGCTTTAAACACTCCTCCAGGATGTAGGTATAGACTGATGCTTTCACTGCTCTAGAAATGAATTTCAGGCATTCCAACTCCTTTGCTCGGTATGTATCCCCAAACCATTTGGCCCACTTTGAATTTTACAATAGACAATACTGAATTTACAGTAGACAGTACACAATTTTATAATTTAACAGTAGACAATATAGTCTGATTGAATAAGTTTCACTTTTATGTCTTCGAAAACACAGCTTACCATCTGATGCATGGAGGTTGAATTTAGATTCGTCTGAAAAACTTACTGAGTCCCACTCAGCCTTTATCCAAAAAGCATGCTCTTTTTCGTGTTTGTCAGGGTGCAGAGTCCTGATAAAAAGTTGCTTCTGCATAATTTTTAAGTTAATGCTTTTTCGTCAGGGTGCAGAGTCCTGATAAAAAGTTGCTTCTGCATAATTTTTAAGTTACTGCTTTTTCGTTAGGGTGCAGAGTCCTGATAAAAAGTTGCTTCTGCATAATTTTTAAGTTAATGCTTTTTCTTGGAGCGATATGCATGTAGACTGCATTCCATATAGTGTCTTTGGACAGTTCATTGTGCTGAAATTAACTGCACAGTCTTTTGCAAATTCAACTTATAAATCAGCAGAACTTGCATGATTATGGAGAGCCGTTTATTTTAGAAATAGATCGGATTCTGTGATACTCTCTTCTGGCCCTTCTCTCAACATCAACAGTTTCATGCTTCAGTTGAATCACTCTTGAGACTGGCGTTTGATTGAAGCCAAATTTTTTAACAATCATGAGTGTTAAATATTCTTTTTTTAGTTAAAGCAACTGCGACACATTTACCCCTTTGCATCAGTTGAACATATGGAGCCATCTTTTCATCACTTAAAGAAAGAGACAAATGACCCTTTTCTTCTTTTGCCATACTATTTATATAAATTGGATGACACAGTAATTCAGAAGCACTGTGTGATGCAATATGAATGTGAAATGATCTTGCATCTTGCTTTGCAGGAACTAAAATAATTTTATGTGAATAAAATAATGTATTAATATCACAAAAATGTGTAATTTTCTAGATGTATGGCCTTGTCAGTCAGCAGGTAGATTTCGAAATGTTTTCAGGAGGGGATAGAGAAATTTAATTATTTGCTACAATGGATATTTTCATATATAAGGCTTGTAGTAACTTAAATACAAAATCTTTGTGGAGAATTTTGTTTATCACATAGCATATGTTTTCATTCCGATTACAGCATCCGTAATAACTGAATGCTAAAGTGTTTTCAAATTAGTCATTTACATGAATTAAAATCATGATTTTATAACATACATTTATTTGAGATGTTTCATTCAGAGACTTATTTATTATGTAGTTAAAAAAACTAAATATGAAGTTTTTACATAACTGCATGTCTGTTCAGCTTCTGTTATTGTTATAAAATAAGTGTAAAGGTTGTTTATAAAATTTTAATATTTGAGAGATTTAAAATTATTTATAAACCTGTTCTTTCTGCTTTTGCAGTATCTTTAAGCAGTAATTTAAGTCATTTTGGTTTAAAATAGTGTTTTTAACTCAAAGAGGCAATTTCCCCAGAAGGGCTATTAATTTCATTTTAGCATTTTGCATTGATTCACTACAAACGGTGAATCACATTTTAAATTGTTACCACCAAATATTAGAGCCCTGTATTATATTTAAAGAAATTAAATAATGGAGAATCTGCATAAATGTTTCACACAGTGTGATAAAACAACGGTACCTAGAGTCATCAAATTTTGAATAATGTACGTCTCCACCTGAATATGGGCGTCTGGAAGCCTAAATTTGGAATTTGTTTTATTATCTATTTCATATTTTGTAAAGCATTTATGAGTTTTTGATTAAAGAACTCGATGATTTCAAAGCGAGAAGTGACAACACTGTATGGAGGGGAAAAACAATTTTATCTCCAACGTGTGAGACTGTGTATCAGAAATTCTAAAGATATGCACTTTTAAATATTTTGTGATATTGCTGTTGAATTGAATTTTATGGTTTAAGTTCAAAGAATAGGATATTTAATATATACAAGTAACACACAAAACATTAAAAAAATGCCCCTTTGAAAGAATATAAAACCAGAAAGCTTTCAGATTTTTAAAAATTTTTTATTTTAATTTTTATTTAGTTGTGTGTGTGTGAGAGAGAGAAAAATTGTCTACTGTAATGTAAATGCCTAATTATAATGAAAAATTAGAGAAAAGTATTCTTATGTCAAGTTTTACTGAATATTTTTATAGTGCATTAAAAGGTGATACCTTTGGTGGCATTTATATCTCTGTTTATTAATGCTTCTGTGCTTTTTTAGTTTAATGGATGAAGTTGTACATACATCTCCAACAATTGGAAGTAATGTAGAAGAAGTTGTATGGAAAAATGTGCATTTTATAATGTGGGATTTAGGTGGTCAAGATTCATTGAGAGCTGCATGGAACACATATTATAGCAATACAGAGGTGAGATAAAATATTAAGAATATTTTTAAATATAAATAGTATACTATTCATTAAAATTGTAAACTAAGAAAGAAAGGAAATATTAACCATGAGTTTAAATTTATTGTACAATTGTTCAAATTTATTTCTGATATCAAAGTTAAAAACTGATTTTATAATATAACAAGTAGAGTTTAACTAATAGATATGGGCAGATCTTTTAAAGTTCAATCAGGATTTTAGTGAGTGTATTTCTTAAATCTGTAAATGTAGCAACATTTTTATTTATTTATTTATTTATTTATTTATTTTTTACTTTAAGAATAAAAACATATATTTAAAAGTTAAACATGCATTCCGTATAGGATTATTGTACTGTGTGTTTGACCACTTTTCTGAAAAATTATATACTGGTTTAGTTAATGTTTTAATTTTTTATTATTATTTTATTATTTACAATTGTATGATCTTTACATAAGTGGCTGATTAATTATTTATTGAATTTTATTTAGCTGCTTCTATATTTATAGAATGTAAAAAACAAAGTTTATAATTAAACAAAATAAATAGAATTTCTCTTGAAACATCTAATCACAATTTTTTTTTTAAATGTGCATTTACATTATGCTAAAAAGTTACGAAGTGGTAAAACAAGTTGTACAATGCCTTGTTCTTATTTTCAGTACATAGTTGTAATTTTATGTTGGTATTCATAAAATAGATTAATTATAAACCTGCTACAATTATATTGACTTTGATTGCTTTTACTAGAAACGTTTTTAAATTTATAAATCTGTTTCTAAAAAATCCAATTGAATGAATGTAAGGGTAAAAATATATTTACGAGTATCCCTTGGCAAAAATTGGCGATTTTTGGCTGTACATGGATACCGAGTTTATGCAATTCTTTGACTTGCTATTTTGGTTTGTGTAGCGACAATTTTTGGCCCAAAAATTTCTGCTACACAAAGCCAAAATAACAAGACCCAAAAATTTCTCCTACACAAAGCCAAAATAAAAATAACAAGACAAAGAATTGCACAAACTTGATATCCATATCCACATCGACCTATTTTCACATAAAAAAGAAGAAAAAAAAAATCAGAGAATTGCACAAACTTGACATTGCACACTCCCTTTATCCATGTACACATTGACCTTATTTTCACTTAAAAAGTCAAAGGAGCAGCCAGCAGAATCGGAAACTCTTTTTGACATAATCGAACATTCAAGCTTACTCTTATAAAATTGCTCTAACAGTCTGCAAAAAATAATATGCCGGATTTAATTAGAAAATTAAGGAACAACGCAATCTGCAACATTAACTGAAATAGATCATTTTAGCTTAGCTTATACCATCCGTTATACATTAAACGTGCATGCGTTAACATATTATCCACATGCTTAAACGTATTATGCATATGCGTAAATGCATTATGCGTTTATGCATGCGCAGAAAGTTTGTAGCTTTGAGGTCCGGATTATAGATCATTCCTGATTATAGACGTTTGGATTAAAGACTTTTGACTATGTTTCTCAGTATTTTGCCCATTACTACAAGTTTTACTAAATTCAAAATGTATAAATTGTAATATGTAGTCAAGGGGAATCTGCAACAAGGTGTTGATATATTAATTTGCATGGGAAGAATATCAATCTGCTGAAACTTTGCACAGAAAAAGCTTGCAAACACTGAAACTTGTAAATATAGTTATGTTTCATGTTTGTGATATAGCCATGCTTAAAATTCATTATTCACTTTGAGCTTATAACCATTAGATCTTCACCTTGGTTTTATGTAAGCCCAATGAATTCTCAATAAGCTGGTTTAGTTTTTGTGAGGAAGGATGTAAATTAACTGCTAGTTATCTGTTTTTCCCTCTCATTTTGAAAACATCTGACGTGGCTAGCACATGACCTCCTGCCAGCTTTCATGTTTTAAATAATAATGAGCTATAAGTAAAGTATCATTTGAAGGATATAATTGTTTGATCATTAGCATCAAATTAAAACATTTACAAATTTTATGGCTCTTTGCTAATTATGAGCACTGTTCGATTTTTATTAATATGTTCTTCCACACAATGCAGAATGACAGCTTTACATGCTAATGCACATATCCATTCTCATGCTTTCATTTGAAAATATTACATTGATTGTAGTATATCCTCTGATCATATAGTGTTTCAGATTCCACAAATCAAGAGTCACAAAATTCCTAAAAGCTGCATATCTTGTGAATTCTCAATAGAATATTAAGTGTTGCCATGCATTTTCCCATTCTTTTCTCATTTTATGGTGTTAGTGTTCAGTTTTCTTAATAAGATGACTATTTTTTTTTATTTGTCCTTTTAGCTTTATTTATTAAACATGTCTTTTTTCACTTTTATAACACATAAAGTTTAATGATAAAGTCACAAAATGTTTATAAGCAGCATATCTGTAGAAATTTCAGTAGAGCCTTAAGTATATCCATACATTTTTCCCTTTTTTAATATTCATTGTTCTATCTGTATTTGCTATATTATTTCTTTAAAAATATTATATAGCGATAACATTTGGTGTCAGTGTCCTTTTATTTTAAAAGTGATTCGGCACAAGGAATGAAATGGACACTGAGGGTTGGGGCTAATACATTTAGTTGCATTATATTGAGAGCTCATCTTTATAAAGAACTTAATCTTGTAGCATTTGACACAATTTCAAGAATACATTTAATGTGTGTAAATGTAATAAATATATTGTTCTCAGTCACACACACTTTTTAAAAGTTTTGGATTATTTCATAATATATTATCTCTTCTGGCTAATCAGTGGAGGGCAAAATATAATATGTTGTTCATTTTGGATTGTATTAAAATATAGTTTATCATTAAAAGTTGTTCAAGTGAGATACCACTTCTATTAAAAACATTAAAAACTGTTATGGGTTTCATGTGAAGTGTTTTTCTGGTTGTCCAGTGTACCCAAAATCTAATCAACTCTCTTTGTATGAATGCAGAAAACTTAAATATAGAGAATAGAAATTTTTGTAAGTTTGATATAAGAGTTATCATGGATTAAAAAATCCTCACTTTTGTACACACACAAACATACAGACATCATTCCGAAAATAATTAAAACATGCTATGCTGACTGTAATTTGTACTTATTCACTGAATAATCACAGTTGAATTTTAAATTTGATTGGAATTTAATGCAAAATCTTACTGATAACATTTATGTCCCATACTTTTGTATATAAGTTAGCAGGAGATAAAAATTATTAAAATTCTGGACTGTTCCCAGTTCTAATAGAACAATATGGAATTCTGGAGTATTTTCAAAATTACATGATCCTGCCATCAAGAATAGTATACATTAATCGATATCATATGCAACTTTATTTGGAACTAGATAAAAAATGGTGATGCAATGTGAAAAATTATGACTAAAGAATAATCCATTCTTTCAAACGTTTGCCAAAATGAACAGTGCCAGTTTGTCAGGATTTCTGCCAATGACAGGCTTTCATAATCAAATGAAATGTTTTACTGTATGTGCAATGCATACAAAAATATATATGTTTTTATGTCTGAAATACATTTCATTTGACATCTTACATAATATTGAATGTAGGCTTTTGATATTCAGGCTGATAAGAAAAGTGATGACCATTTTTAGACTTTTTAACAAATTTTAGACTGTAATCTCTTCATCCATTCACTTGCTTTTTCAAGTAGCACTTTTTATCTGCTGAATGCCCGATAAATGAAAGTCCAGAACTAGATAATTGAGCTTTTCCTTTATTTATAACTTTATTATTTATTTATTTTTGTTTATGTAACATTTATTTACATTTTTATTGAAGGGAGAAGGTGTAAAAACATCATAAACTATGCATAATTTATTCCTTTAATATGTCATCCCAACTCTCCCAGGTTTTTGACGCATTTTCCTGCCTCCTGGTGGATTATTGAATCTCCCAGTTTTTTAATTTTTAGCCTTTACCAGTAAAAATTTTTGAGCAATAAAATTAAATTATGGAAATAAAATCTACACAGTTTGTCTCATTACTGATTTAATGAAGTTTAAATTGTGCAAATTTTATTCCCCCATCCATCCCTAGTGATATTCAGCATATTGTTTTCTTATTAAATTTTATTTGATCTGAATTATCTTAATTGTATTGCTGACATTTGGAAAACTTAATGTAAGGTTTCAATCAAACCTTTTTGAATTTAATTTTATTTTACATCAGTATGTAGAGCCTCATTTCAGGACGGGAAAGATGTAAAATTTGAAATGCAAATAATTTTATTATCTTCCCTATTTAAAAATACTTTTATAAATTAGAGCTTTTCTTCCTCACAGGGAATTTCTCAGTATAAAGGCATTAAGAAAGTTAAGAAATGAAATTAGATAAAGAATATAAAATTTAGAATATGCAATTAAATATTCAAATATTTTATGTCCGAATAAGAATGGCATCAGAATTGGTACAACTAGTGCAACCACACCAGGCAGCAGGATTAGGGATGGCAAAATTTTAAAAAAGTAGAAAGCCACTAGGTGGCAGAATTTAAGACCCACAGAGATTGCACTGTGGGGCAAAAGGACTAGCGCTGACCCTACGTCAAAATCAAAAATAGTTATATTAACTTCCTAAAGTCGGTGGCACAACTGTTGTACCAGCCTTTCTTTCCCCCGTTTAGAGTAACCATTTATCTTTAGAATCTCTAGGTGACCCAGTTTTCTGTTCGGAGCAGCTCCTGGCTATTCTGTAGCCAATAGTAAATGTTATAAAGTTTAAATTAAATCAAAATAAACCTCGAAAACGTCACAAATATACTAACCTATTCTAGACTATTCTCCAGAGTCTGACAAACATGTAAATTTTACTTCATCGGTGGAGGGGACAAATGACCAGCCTAACGATTTTTCTCATTAGGGAACAGTAAAGGAGGGGGGAAAGTGTTTTGGATCATGCCGTCCTAAAGGTTATGTTATGAGAAGCCCGATTTTAGAAGGTTAACTCAATAAAATGAATTTAACTGTTTGACTTCTACATGGCACAAAAGCGCTGCGTTCATTTGCCTCGATGCGCTGCGAGTTTCAGTGTGTCTTTGTTGCTCCGTGGGTGTGAATGTAGTCTGGCCTCATGCGTACTTTGTAATAACATGAGTGCATTCTAAAATAACTAACTGCGTTGCGGTTTTCAAGACAGATGAACGCAGCGCTTTTGCGCCGCATAGCTGTCAAAGAGTTAAATCAATTTTGAGTTTGTCATGACAACATTTTTAAAACTCAGTTTTTCATATTTCAATGTTATTTTTATGTTCCATATGTTAATTCTGCATTGCTAATTAATTTACTATTTTTTTTCTAACTTAATGAATTATTATTCTTTACTTATAGTTCCTTATTGTGGTAGTGGATAGCACAGATCGAGAAAGGTTGTCAATTACTAAAGAAGAACTATGGCGAATGCTATCTCATGAAGTGAGTTGAGGAGATAAATATTATGCACTTATCAAATGTTTTCCTGTTATCAATATATTCACAATTTAAATTTTTTATGTGAAGTGAATTATTTATGCTATACTAAAGCATATTATTACTTAAGGTTTATAATTTCACATTATTCATTTGAATTCAGTGAAGATCCTGTGGTAACTATCTTATAAAACTAAAAATAGTTTTGGTAACTTAAAAGCAAAAAAATCTTATTGGGGTCAAATTTAAATCTTAAATGCATTGACATTTTACTTCAGGATTAGTTTTATCAGCTATTTGTTGTATTTTGGAGACTGATGATAAACTTAAATTGTTATTTAATGTTAAAATAGAAAATATATTAGTTTTGAATAGACTCCATTCATTTGATATTATACATATACGCACACACACACATATATAATACTGAATATGTTGTTGCATGTGTATGGGTTTTAATAGATTGAATGCACACAGAACTGATTGTAGCTTAATAAAATTTATTTTACAAAAAGAAAAACTTAACAATTCTGGAACTGTTTCCAAAAATTTTTTTACATTTCTTCTCAGTGTCACAGAGCACAGTCAGTAGTTACAGTTCCGACTACTAACTTTAAACACAATGCAAAGCAAAGCGCATCTAAAGAGTGAAGCTAACATGGAGATATCTCAATTATCCGAACTTATGCTGAACTAAACAGTTACTACTGAGAAACTGATTCTCTCCCTGGCCTTATATAGTTCCCCTCAGCCACCAAGAAATCTCTAATACCTTCCAATTCTTGAAATAATTAGAATGCATATGAGGACCAGATATGGTTACAGCTACATATTTAAATTAATTACATTTATTCAATCAGAATACCAATTAAAGCTGTACCAGGGCAGGACCAAAATGTCAGCAAATGGTCGCCTAGTTTGTTGACAAAATTAGTCGCCAAAACCATCACCAGCTTGGCGATATCTCGCTAATTTCCTGAAATAATCATTTACTTAATGTTAATAGACTTGCCCTTGTATTCTTGTCTTTTGTTAAAGTTTTCCTCAGATTTTCATGTTACATTATATACAAAACATGCTACAATTTTATACATAATTCCATTAAAATTATTTACATATATAAAATTCATAACAATATACTCAATACAAGTAGTTAATACAGCAAATTTTTATCACCTCATATCTTTAGATTTGAAATTTCTGCTAATGTTGAAGCTTTTGCTTATTCTATACTCTCCAGTTCATAGGAGCTAATTTGATATTTTATTTAACTTTCTTAAATTGAAATCAGGTTGCGCATATCATCGGTATTTTTCTTTTGCTTTTTTTAAATCAAAATCTTGATGCTAACCATGAAGCTAATCACCAGAATTTGTAATGCTAATCACCTTTTGTTTAAAAGATGCACTTAATGTGCATAGTAAGTCTGATTTTTATGTTTAAAATTGCTATTACATTCAGAAAGAGCTGTATAATATCTGTTATATCTATGCTACTTGATACTATATTATATCTATTCCAGTGCTTACTAAGTCTTACTTATTACTACTATTATAATATGCTATCTATGTCAATACTTACTATGTCAGTAAGCATTGACTAACCAAAAGTTTTTAACCCATGCACCAAGTAGTTGCCTATTATCTCAAATTTTATTCTAGGTACACTTTGAATTTTTAATGTTCTGTGTTTGATGTCTCTAAACTAAGCAACTTTTCTATAATTAAAATGAATTCAGCTGTTTATTTGACCAAAATGTGAATGGATATGCTCAGTTTACACTTAAATGTTTTTTCTTTGTAAAATATTTGAACTAATATTTTTTAAAAAATTATTGCACATTAGTTGTTAAACATATATGACACAAATGTTAGATATTCTGAAAGAACATGAATATAAAAATTTCAGTAAATGGCTTAGCTTATCAAAAAGTTGCATAGCAGAATTTTTTTTTTTTTTTTTTTTTTTTTTTTTAGTTTTCAGGTTTTGTTATCAGTGTTGATTGGCTAGAATATTTTAGAAGTATCTGATTTATAAATATATTCAAGGAGCTAATTGTACTTCTAAAGTGTAAAGAATGGAAAGAAGAAATAATAAACAGGAAATTTTGTTATTATGCATCTTAGTATTTTTTTATCTTTGTGGAAACAAAATTTTTCTGTAAGTACATTCCTGAGAAAGTTAATATTTTTGTCTTATAAAATTTGCTGTGTTAAGCATTATTAGGATTCAAAAAAATTATTTTTTCTTATTGAAGAAAAGTCTAAATCCCCATTGTTTAAAAAAAAAATAATTCTAGTTGCTAGACTTCTTCGAAAAAAGAAAAGCATTGGATCTTTGAATTTGAAATTATTCTTAAGGAATTCTGCCTTACAAGGCACTTGATGTGATAAAAGTATAAATTTTAAAATACTAGACCTTGTGCATTTTAATTTTAGATGCAAAAAACCGTGAAAGAACACAGACTTGCATTTTATTCAAAACTTATGTGTAGAAATTCAGCTTAATTTTTATCATCTAAGGAAATTAATGGCTCAGATTCAATTACTGACAGCTTCTAGTAAACAGTCTGGTTTATAGAAATCTTCTTAGTAAATGGAAATGTAAAATGCTTGGGCTATTATTATTATTATTATTATATATCATGGATTTAAAAAAAAAAAATAGGAAAAAAGATTTTTTTTTTTTTTCTTTTTATTTCAATGGCGAGTTCTAACTGTTTAAAGGCATTGGCCTCTACTAAGGCTGAGAGTGATGGTCTCTTTATTGTGGAAGCACCTAATTATGGGTCACCGTTGCCTCATGAAGGTACAGACAAATTACATTCATGCCTTTTTCAGGATCTGAACCCCGACTCGGTACAACAGTCAGAGTTACTAACCACTTTCCTGTCTGGGGAGCATGATTTTAAAAAATTGGAGTAAAGATGCTTCTCTAGATATCATTGCCGTCATTGAAAATTATATATTTTTCATCTACTATCAATAACTACAATAAATTCCAACTTGAAGGAAATTTGAATATTTTAAGGACACTCTTAAAAATTGGACTTATTTAATGAAAGTCTGATTACATTATCAGTATAATTAATCAGTAGTAGTATATATAATCAGTAATTATCAGTATGAGAATGTTAAAAATGTGCAAAATTTTGTACGAGAGTGAAAGAAGGATGAGAATAATTTAAGGCCACCCAAGACTAACATTTTTAAGAAGAAAGTACTAAAAAAAAAAAAAAAAAAAAAAAAAAAAAAAAAAAACCTATTATTATCAAACCACACAGAACAGGAGAAAAACAGAAACTGGCAATATGTTTATCAGGACAATATGTTTATCAGTAAACATATACCTAACTCCTAGCTGTTTCCATAATATATTCATTTCTATGATGACAAAGTTAAAAATTAAGTTTAAAACAGGAAAGAATACATTTGTGTATGATGTTTCAGTGTAATGCCAAAATTTTTGCAAGTTCCTTTTTTTTTTTTATTAAGTTTTACAGAGCTGATGATGTGGTCCCGCTAGTATTCACACAATGCCATTAAAGACATTATTCGTTCCTGTATCAAATATTTTTAGCAACTATCTTTTCGAGCGGATTAGGTGTGAATCACTTCCATAATCTTTTGGACATCTTAATCTCTCATTTGGCATTCCAAAGGCTATAATGAAATTGAATGTGAAAATAATAATAATAATAATAATAATAATAAAAAATAACTGGCTTGTAAAATCAGAACTCAATTGCACAAATTTTGAACCCAGAGTCTCTACTAAAAAGCAATACTTTGGTTGTATATCCTCTAGCTAATGAATGCAGATTAAAAAATTCAGGATCATGAGAGTTACTGGATGACAGCCTAGCAGTTTAAAGGGATACTATATGTAGAATCTATGTACTTTTAAAATAATACATGTGTCCGACATCATCATCGATAGTTTCTTTAATTGTATAGTTATGAACATGCTGAATTGAAAAAATATAAATCATGCATGCTGTCAGAGGCATAGCTTTATTTTATTTATAAACTTATAAAATATATTTTGTATAGTTATATCTAAAAATACTAACTGTGAGTTTGTCATATAAAGCTGAATTTTTCCATCACTGTCACTTAGCATATTTTATATTATCTATATTCCATATTCAAGGAATGTGGGATTAGTATTGCGTGTAAAGGGAGAAAAATAAAATATTAAATTTTCATAATTGTACCCAAATTGTAAGATGTTATCATACTCCAGTTGTATTAATTTTTACAACAAAAAATTTATTGTATGTTAAGATATGCCTTGTGGACTATTATGTATATTATTTGTCTAACATGTGTGTTGTTCTTTAAGTATGCTGAGTTTTAATGTTGCTCTTTTATGTAATGTCATGTTCATATCAGTATTTGCTTACTCTGTGCATAATGTTTTCTGCATATATCTTCATCCCCTATTCATACTGAGATAGCATTTATTGTACAGTGTGAATTATTAATTGCATTGCAATTATAAATTTATCGTACATTATTACAATACCTGTAATTCAAATTTATTTATAATACAGCTGTAAATGTATTATCAGAATGTTCAAAAGGTTGTGTTTAATATTTGAAAGGTACTTAATATTTGAAATATTAAAAATTATTACTTAGCTTTGAAATAATATCTATCAGAACACACACATACTTGCTTCAGAATGCCTGAAATACTGGAAGCACTGGCAGATTACTTGTTTCATTTTCTCTTATAGACTGACCATTGCATCATTTGGGGGTAGTTTGAATAGTCTGAAACTATGCCAGTGGAACTCTTTTCATGAGAGAGACTAGCAGGATTAGGGGGTGAGAAATCTAGTGAATAAAATGTTTATTGCATGATAGACTTTCTTTACTCAAAATGTGGGATCATGGCAAATAGTTGAAAGATGTTTTAAACTCTGTTTGCAGTGCAACACAAATTATGTTCTGTATGATACCATTTCATCCACATGTTCTATACAAAGTAGTTAATATCCT